CACACACACACACACACACACACACACACACACACACACACACACACACGTCCATAAAACTAGTTCTTTTCTTTATTTTTTATCACAAACCAGGAACATGTGATCCCTCACTGAAGAGAAAGAATGAGCATTTGAGTCTAAATAAACTACAGTACAATAGAAACAAACAAAAATATAGAATATCTTACCTGGTACGTCATACCAGTGAGCCCCGTTCGTTATGCCATCTTTAAAGTTTTCTCCAGGGCTTCCGGGACAGTTGGGTTGACCAGTCTTCATCACAGGGTGATTCTTAGCATACACCAGGGCCAAGTACCGAAACAAGCTGTCATCCTCCGACCGGCTGTAGAAACCCTCTCTCCGGTGGGAGGCCGAGTCATCGAAGGGGTAACTGGCAACCACCGTCCCACCATGCAGGTTTGCCGACAGAACAAACCTAGAGAAGAAGGTGACAGATTTCATTATCAGCCTGCGCAAGCAATTTAATTAACCTGTATCAGCTGGTGACACACTCAGACCATCACCAGCTAGTTATTGTAAAGCATATTTTATATCGTTAGCTGCTAATTATGCTGCAAGAAACGTAAACGTTATAGCCAATGGAGTAGATACTATTGCATCATTTGAGGACATCATCACATGCTTGGAAGTAGGGAAAAAAACATCAAATGGATATAAAAATAGAACAATTAAAACCAGTTCAGCAAAACAATGAGTTGCAAAATGAYTTCATGGTTCACACCCAAGAATTTTTTATTTTTATTTTTATTTTAGTTGTTCCAAAATTTTTGTGCAGTTCAGTTTATTTATATAATGCCAAATTACAACAAACGACATCTCAGGATACTTTACCAAAAAAAGAAAAGAAAAAGAAAAAAAAACAATCAATCTAAGGAAGAACATGAATTGTATTGAATTTTCATTTCGTCACAGTCCCCATCACAAAGTTTGATTACGTTTCAAAAATGTGGACATTATTTGACATTCAGGACGTCTCTTTGGCTTTTTCTTCAGTGTCTTGTTTGTAATGTTTGTCATAAATCATTTAACAGATGCTGACTTCAAATGTATTAATCAGGTCAGTTCCACTTCTGAATTACTACCTCTCCCTTTCAAAACTGTTCAGAACTAATATACATGACAACATAGACAATAGACTTTGGAAGAGCTGCAGGTTTGTGTATTCATCACGATGCGTTGGCAACTTTAGGTGTTTTAACCTGCCCTCTGAGCTTCTGTAGTTTTAGTTTATAATCTGGGTCAGATTAAAAGATGGATACACTTAAAGAGCAACACCACATTAAATTCCTTGTATGTAAAAATACTTGGTCAAGAAATCGGATTCTGAATTACCCTTTAAAAACATGCTTCTTAGTTTACCAGGAAATTAAACATCATTAAGTTATGCTAGCATCCTACCAAGGAGATTCCCTTCAATCACAACAGTGCAAGTATGGCTAAGACATTTTTACTACCACCCCAGTACAGGAAAAACTTGAGTAAAATGTAAATAAAAACAAAATGCAATGACTTGAACATTTCAAAATTGAAACAGACATAGCTTAACACAGTTAGGCTGAAATATACAAAACCTTTCCTGAAAAAGATGTCATCTGGGAACCCACATTGTTCTGAAAACCTGTACAGGGACCTTTTTACAGTTATTAACACGTGAGTGAAATTGGGCGCCACACCCCTAATACACTCAGCTATTCTCAGTGTTCAAGTCTGACGTTCAGCTCAAGTCATTTGGACCTTTACACCTGCTTTTCTATTGACTTTATATAAAAACTTACTTATAAATTAGCTTTATTAGTATTTTACAATAGAATAGAATAGAATAGAATAGAATAGAATAGAATAGAATAGAATAGAATAGAATAGAATAGAATAGAATAGACGTTAGTGCCCCGCAGAGGGGAAATTCAGGTGTAACATCAGCAGCGTATATAGGTTCACACAAAACGTTCTAAAGTGCTAACAGATGATATAGGAAATAAGAAATAAGAATTAATCTAGACCAGTGGTTCCCAATGTTGGGGTCAGGACCCCACTGTTTTGAAACATCAAGGTGGTGTCTTGAAAGGATCTTAACGGATTTTCAGAATTAATTACATTTTGACAACATGGTTTTTTTTTTTTT